CCTGCATATGTTGGGCAATTTTCACAATTAGCATAAGTTGCTTTAATCAGCATGAATTAACATTATAGCTCTATGTGGACAATAGTTGAGCAATGGCTTAGCTGATTTGGACAAAATGGGGGTAATCGAGGATGCCGATTCCATTTCTGACATTTTCAGAATAAAACATTTCTGTTTTAACCAGAAAAAGCATCTGTACTCTCTGTGGGCTGACTTAGATACATTTTGGGTCGATTTGGAAGATTTAGGGGACTGAAAAATAATCGTCCACAGAGACAATACTTTTGTTGTGCTCTTTATATCAAATTGTTGCAACACTACTCACCTCAGACTATACAGATTGCCACTTTCTGGTTAAAATGGATATTCTGAAAACCTGATCCTGAAAATATCAGAAATGGATTCAGCCTCCTCAATAACTCCCACAATTGTACAAATTGGCCAAGTAATTATTTTTAACTATTGTTCACATAGGCTATAATGCCATTCATTGTAATTAACAGAACTTGCCAATTGTGCAAAATGCCATTATATGCAGGTTAGCATCCGGCAGTTTCTATGTGCTGGGGCCCCCTACTATACATTTCTAACATAGAAATTGTGGCACTCTCCACATATCCAGGTTCACTATGCTGTCAACTAGACTAGGAAAACAATTCCACATATTTTTCGAAGCATACTGTTCATGCATGCCACACACATAACCCGTGTAAACACACATGAGCCGTGTCAATGTGGTAACTGTACACACACTTTAGTTAACAGTTTAATGTGTTAAAAGCAGAGCTGCAGTGTGTGTGTAGTGTATGAGGTAAAGTTCTCACTCTGCATTAATGCTCTGCAATGCAGCTGCCACCTCCGCTGCATGGTAACTCGCCTCCTCCAGACGGCGCAGTCTCATGGAACAAGTTGACCTTTTTTCAATGATCAGTCTGCAAACTGATTCATGTAATAATATAATAACACATGTGTTGCCTTTATGAACACATATTGACAATAGATCAAATGAATACATGCAAAGTGACTAACCCACATGCCCTTGACTCTCTCATTAATCTGACTTCCTGATGATAACACCTACTGTATTCTACCTACCCCTCACAGTGTGAATCATTTCTTTGAGGTTAATCAAATGCAAACATGTATTTGTGTCTTCTTCTTTGGGGGAATTTGGGATTTTGAATAATTATTAAGCTTTGCTAAATTAGTCAGTTGCTGTAATTTCTTTTACAGGTGTAGATAGCTCTTGTGAAAGATGCAAATGAGAGAATCTGCAGGAGGTCATTTTTAACATGTGGATGTGAGTCAGATCAATACACATAACATATTTTGATATTATAAATCACAAAATCCCTCCTTGTTATACAATATGCCAAGACCCAGGGTATTTGAAAGAGATGAAAAAACCCAGATGAAATCCTACAGAAATGATGCCTAAAAGACTCAGTTTGTCTTGAGCCTGCAACCAGAGTTCACTCCATAAGGTCAAGTATGCTCAGTACCCCTGGTTTAATATGGTTCTGTTTTCAATTACTGTTTCCTCCCTCCTCCTCTTTGGCTCTTGGACTTCTGGAGGGTACTCAACCCACATCATGATCCCATGATACATTTACAAATAGTTTCAGATATACAGAGACTTTTACATGTTGTGCAGTAGTAGTGCAGAAATCAGAAAAGACATGTAGCACTTAAACACTTCCTCTGCGCCAGGAGGAGAGTTAAACCTTCTCCGTTTCCCTTTGAACAACTTCTGGAAGTAAAGGCGCTGGAACTGTATTTAATAATTGAGAATTGGAAGGTAATTGAAGACATAGATCAATAATATCTAGGAGCTTGCTCTCATTACAGATACCTAGACACCTCTGATAGTTGTAGCTCAAGGATGAAGAATCTGGAGAGAAAGAGAGAGGAAACAGGAGAATAAAAGGAGCAATCCAATCTTGAAATGTAACAAAAGAGACCCATTTCCCATCCCCTTCTGTCTCATCAGAGCCTCATATCAAACGTTGTGGTGCGGCATGTGGTTTGACCGCCTCCCATTTCATAATGTCAGATCCCTGTGCTTAGAAAGAGGATATTTCCAAGGAGGCTGGCGGCTTCCCTGGCCCTGATTTCCCAGAGGATTGGCAGTCTTGACACGCATGGGCGTCTGTGAGCGTTTAAACAGTCACATCAATCCCCCCCCACCCCCCCCACCCAGCAGCCATTCCATCGCTCTCATCCTCTCTCTTTCCTGTTTCTCCACCTCCTTCAGGCACGCTTTGCTTTCTGCTTTTATCACCTGTTAGCGATGTATAAAGGGACTCTTCCACACAGTCATTTCATTAGATGTTTACACTGCGTTAGCTACAAGTGAGGGTTATGGAGTTGATTCATTCGAATCAGTGATGGAATCTTTTCCCGGCCTGGGGAGGAAAATGCATTTAAACTGATCGAGTGTATTTCAACCTGTTTATTCCCTGAGGGGCTCAGTATGGAGAGGCAGGGCAACAATTCATGTTCACACACACACACACACACACACACACATCACACACACACACACACACATAACACACAACACACACACACACCAACACACAAAACACACACACACACACACACACACACACACACTGTTATGCATCTGTTCAACGACACTCTCACTCACCCTAAGCGTCCAGGAACGACGCTTGGTCAGGGACCCCATTTCGTGCATTTGTGACGCTCCGAGTGCTCCTTCAGCTTCATAAACGGACGCAAAGAGCTTTCAACTGATTGCAATGTATTCCCATCGGCGGCTGGTAATTGACGCTCAGGGAAGCACTCATCCGTTTATGTCGGCAGCTCTTAAAGGCAATGTGAGCGTCTATTCCCATTGGATAACGGAGAATTGTACACCCGGAAGTAAGTATTATCCTTACTGTCGATTGATTTGACAGTGATATCTGCACTACTCATCAACTCAAAAACACCAGATTACCTTTGTTAATTAAACGACATTGATAGGTTTAAATTGTGTACAATGCTTTTGTGTTTTTCCCCTTCGATTCTGAGAAACAACTTGTTTTCTCTGAAATGTGGAGCGCCAAAGAGACTACACTAGTGATGGCAGTTTGACACTGAAGCTTTGATACGTGCTTCAACCCTGGACTTCCTATTCCATAAAAGCAGTGCTTCGAAGCTTGCTTCAAATCACGTGACATGTGACGTCCGAAGCAGCAACTGCTTCATTTCCTGAATGAATCAACTCACTGGTTCGCCGTCCAATCAGGTGATTCAATGCACTGCCTCGTCTCGATTCTGACAGGTGACAGGTTGAAACAGTTTCAAACTTGAGTGCTTCAACACTTTATGACCGCTCTAAACAATGCGCAATGTGTGGGTTGTTGTCGTAGTTTGTGTTGTTGCTGTTGAGTTGTTGTTGGTATTGCATTTGAATTGGATCATTATACAGCAAGCCAGGAAGAAAGATAGGTCGTTCTGGCTCAGGAAACACTTCGAAATGTGGAGAAGTTGTGAACAAAAAGACAATAATTACTTGTGCTGTCCGCGGTATATGTAGTGTATATATCTTAACAGCCAGATAAACTCCCTCCGTACACCAAGACTCTGAAGACGTGAATCCTTTGCCCACAGGTTTAATGATATAAGGAAGGTGTGAAACTAAAAATAAACAAGACAAAATATAATCAATTCTTTGATCATTTCTACATACACAAATATGCACAATGGATATAAATCAACACAGCTTTAACATTAATTGAATTGCCTTGTTATATTTACTGTAAGCTTTTTAATGTATTTATTGTAATTCTAGAACTTAAACAGTTATAAATGGCATCATATTTTAAACATATAATCAGCCATTTGTACATTTGTTCATTTAACTCTCCTTGCATTAGCCTTGTACAATATTGAGACAACTCGGAAGATCTCCAGCATTAAACACCACAGAATACAATATTTCCTAAAAATAATCATCTGTAATTGTTAATAACACAAACATAAACAATACTTACATACGATGCGATCAAAGGCATTAAGACGTATGCAGATGTAGCTGGATTTCTAACAAACAATAACACATTGCTCACAGAGCCATGCTTTGCCTATTTCCTCTCTAATGATCACCTGACACACCCATCTGATGATGTCATCCTGATTCTTAAAGGGACCACGACTAGGCACAATGGGCACACAAAGAATAGCCCAGAAAATGTAAACAAGAGTCAACTTAGCTGTAACAGAACACTCCCCGTCTGGCGTGATACACGTCACCCAAATCTAGAACACTTCCATTACCTAGCCATCTGGGGGGAGAAGAGGCACCATCTCTGCAACAGGCCTAAGAAAGAGCGAAGTCCCTCCTGGTTCGATGACCTTCACCTCGACCTGATGCAACTTCCCGTCTTTGTTAGGAAAAGTCTGTGTTGTCAGTCGAAGAGGCCATTCATATCTTGGTACGTGATTTGACTGCCACTTCTTGCATGCTTGAATGATGATATCTGCGGCCTGATTGGATTCCTCAACAGTGAATACTGCCTCGCAGCAATGCCAGTCCTTACGATAACTGTTCTTTTTTGGGGTTGCCTTGAACACACATGCGATGTGCAAGAGGCGAGTAACAGAAGGAGTGAGTGACTCCCATAAAGAGGACTTGGTAGATCGCTGGGAACCAAGCTGCTTGTGAGCTGTTGCAGTGCTCAAAGTAGACACTTGATGCCGGATATCTGGGTCTGGACTCGGATCCACAAGATCATAGGTGCTCTCAGAGATACTAGGCTTTGGCTTGGACAGAAACTTGGGTCCAGTCAGCCAGTTAGTGTCTTTTAAATGACCTGGAGCCACCAAACGTGTTGCATGATCTGTGGGGTTCTGATTTGTCGGCACAAAAGGCAAATGGTCCAGATTGGGCACAGTACTTCCAAGGTGGTCAGCATCACAGGAGGTTTTCCCATCTGAATCCTGAGTGACTTGGAGAATAGGACACTCTAGTTCTGTTGTTTTTCGTGTAGAAGCTGTTGATCGTCAATGGTTTGTTGACGCTTTCTAGACAAACATTGCCTCCAATGACCCACCCCAGATCTAACTTTTGAGCATAAGGCTGGTTGTGTGAGCCATTCATCTGTTTGCGAACCTTATGAACTCTGATAACGTCCCGACCCAGGAGAAGCGTGATAGGGGCTTGTGGGTCAATGTCTGGGATGAGGTGCGCCACTGACTTGAGGTGTGCATGATTGAGAGCCACATCAGGGGTTGGGATCTCATTTCTGTTGTTAGGAATGTCATTGCATTCTATGAGGCTGGGTAATGGGATGTGGACAGTTCCATCCAGAGACTCAACTTCATAGCCACTGGCTCTTCTTCCTGCTGATTCCTTCACTCCAGCACATGTTCTCAATGTGTAAGGAGCACTCAGACTTTGGTCACTGAACATTTCAAAGAACTGTGAATGAACTAATGATCTGTTGCTCTGTTCATCCAAAATTGCATACAGTTTAATTGCTTTGTCTTTGTGGCCTGATGGATATACATTTACAAGACATATTTTGGAGCAGGATCTACCTGCCAGATCTCCGCCAAAGACGTTTATGCATTTGGTGGTGACATGAGGAGGAGGTGAAGTTTTCTCCTCCTCCCCGCCATGCTCTGGAGGAGGGACCCACCTCCTCCATCCAGGGTGCGGGTCCAGGGTGAAGTGCTGTATGGTGTCTTTCACTTTTGCATTCAAAACATTGAATTTTCATTTTACAGTTCTTCGCGAAATGTGATGACGAAGAACAGCATCTGAAGCACACATTATTCTCTTTTAGGAATGCCTTACGCTCATCAATGGGCTTTGCTCGGAATGTACGACATTTGCGGAGTGGATGTGGCTTTTCATGTATCGGACACATTTTATCAAAGTCCTCAGATCTCGTTGGGGACTCACCGGTTTCAGTAACGACTCCGGGGAAGATCTCTGTTTTGTGGACAGAGACCTCCCGATATTTGTTTGGTTTCCAACCTGTCTTATCATTCTGTTTCGCTGTGTCTGTGTGGGAGGTGAAGTTGAAGCTTGGATCATTCCTCATGATAGCCTCCTGGCTGATAAAGTTCACGAAGAAGTTAAAGGGTGGATAGTGGACAAGATTTTGCCGCTTGTAGGATGCACCGACTGATGCCCACTTTTCCTGCAGACCGAATGGAAGCTTCTGAACTATTGGGTTGACGCCTCTGGCTGTGTCGAAGAAGGAGAGACCAGGCAAGTCTCCTTCTGCTTTGGCAGATTGAAGTTCCATTAATAGATCACTTAACTTTGTCAGTTTGGAATAATCTTGATTTGTTATTTTAGGAAAGGTGTCAATGCGTTTGAACAGAGCGTCTTCAATGACTTCTGGTGAGCCATATGTTCGCTCGAGTCTGTCCCATATCATTGCTAATCCTGCTTCAGGGTGATGTATGTGTATTGCTCTTATCTGTTCGACATGTTGTCTTGCCTCGTTACCAAGCCACCTGTGCAGAAGATCCATCTCCTCACTTGGTGTCAGGTTTAAACCCCGGGTTGCGGTCTGGAAAGACCGTTTCCATGCTCTGTAATTCTGAGGTTTTTCATTGAATTGAAGCAAACCTGTAGCAACAAGCTCGTGCCGTGCAAAATATCTCACAAAGTCATTCAGGTTTGAGTCGTCGTGATTGTAATTTGGAGACATGGGATGGGGCGATGAGGAAGGATTACCACTATGGTTTTGAGGCCTGTAATACTGTCCAGGAGTACAACGGTTGTTCTCAAACTTTACATTGCGTGAACCACGAGCACACTCGTCTCCGTTGATGCCAGGCTGCTGTGAGGTAAGATGAGGTGATTGAGATCCAGGATTGGTTTGATGGAGAATGAAAGGTTTGGCTTCTGGTTTGAGCTGTGAATGTGAAATGCTGTCGCCAGGACTTGGCTTTGTAATTGCTGGTACATAATGATCATTTAGTTGAGGTTTAGCCTCCGTTATTTTGGCTTGGTCAGCAACATATTGCTGTGTGCGTAATGCTGCTTCCAATGATACAGAGCTTAAACAGTTTTTACTCCTTTCTTTCTCAATGTCTAAATCCTCAGCAGCTTCAAATACTTCTGCTTCAGCTATAGCCGCAGCTGTCTCTTTCTGTATGTTGAGCATTTCCGTAGATGCTTCCAATTTAGCTTTATCCAGCCTTAGATTAATTTCCTCTTCGGCGTAGGAAAGACGTGCTTTAGCTGCTTCTGCTCTCGCTCGTGCCCTGACTGCAGCGGACCCAGTTGATGATGCTCTTGATCGTAGTTGGGAGCCTGAAACACGGGAGCGCGTGTTTAGCGAAGAAGCCTTTTCTGTCATGGCACCGTCTGATAGTGTACCTCTCTTTAGACACTGTTTTGACGGTCATCCAGTGGCTGTATGTGAAGATGCTGTCATTGTCTGCCAGCTTACACTGCGTTGTCCTGCCCGCTAGAATGCCGTATTTTCACTGTGCTGTCCCCGGTATATGTAGTGTATATATCTTAACAGCCAGATAAACTCCCTCCGTACACCAAGACTCTGAAGACGTGAATCCTTTGCCCACAGGTTTAATGATATAAGGAAGGTGTGAAACTAAAAATAAACAAGACAAAATATAATCAATTCTTTGATCATTTCTACATACACAAATATGCACAATGGATATAAATCAACACAGCTTTAACATTAATTGAATTGCCTTGTTATATTTACTGTAAGCTTTTTAATGTATTTATTGTAATTCTAGAACTTAAACAGTTATAAATGGCATCATATTTTAAACATATAATCAGCCATTTGTACATTTGTTCATTTAACTCTCCTTGCATTAGCCTTGTACAATATTGAGACAACTCGGAAGATCTCCAGCATTAAACACCACAGAATACAATATTTCCTAAAAATAATCATCTGTAATTGTTAATAACACAAACATAAACATTACTTACATACGATGCGATCAAAGGCATTAAGACGTATGCAGATGTAGCTGGATTTCTAACAAACAATAACACATTGCTCACAGAGCCATGCTTTGCCTATTTCCTCTCTAATGATCACCTGACACACCCATCTGATTATGTCATCCTGATTCTTAAAGGGACCACGACTAGGCACAATGGGCACACAAAGAATAGCCCAGAAAATGCAAACAAGAGTCAACTTAGCTGTAACAGAACATTACTATAAAAACAGAAGACCGTTGCTAGAAGCTGCAGCTAGACTGCAGAAGTATTAGTTTTTTGTTTTTGAGGATGGAACAATTTCACACACAGATATAGGGAGGCTAGACCTATACAGTTGATTTGTTATGGTTTATCATTTCATGTCAAGACGAAGAAGAAGATGAAATGGCTGAACTGGTCAGTGTCAATCCTGTGGAGATGGAGGTTATAAATCTCCAAAATCATGTTCAGCCTAGGTCTCAGCAAAACTCACAACATTTCTGGAGCCTTGTAGACCCAGAAAACTATAAGAACATTCACCAAGCAGCACTGAACACGTCTGCTTTATTTGGCTCTACAGACCTTTGTGAAGCAGCTTTTTCTGACATGAATGTCATGAAATCTAAATACAGAACAAGACTGACTGATGGACATTTAAATGACTCTATTAGAGTGAACCTAAGTGGGTACACTCCAGCATACACCTCTATGGTGGACTCCATGCAGTGCCATTCATCTCACTGACTGTGAAAAAGAGTGAATGCACTTATTTTACACATGTACCATAACATGCTTGTCAGTTAGTGATTAGGGACATTTATGTGCATTTTCAGTGATGTACTTACTATGTGGGCCATAATGATATGTGAGACATTTTCGTTGTCTTGGACCTTGATGCGAAGTTAAGATTTTTTATAAGCTTTAGGTATTGCAATTTCACACGTGTATAAAAGTAGCTTAATTCAACTGATGAGGGCGATGTGAATAAATGTAAGCGATGTGATGCAAGTAGCTCTTGATCACTTTCATTTTTTCAAAGTAGCTCTCAGGTGAAGAAAGGTTGGAGACCCCTGCTCTAGTCTCTTCTCAATAACCCAATACACACAATTATCAATCTTTAATTGCAAATAGAACATGATATTCAGTCTTAGTGTGCATTGAAAATTCAGTTCATTATTTCAAGTCAAAGATACGTTAAACCCACTGCAGACTTGCACTTCGCCAGGAGAGGTCTCTGTAACTGAAGCTTCGAGAAATGAACCTATTTCCGACACAATTGTCCAAGTGGTTCGATGCTTTATTCAAAGCTTCATTTTGCCATCACTAGACTACACTACCCACAATCCCCAGCTATTGTTGTGAGGACGCCTGTCCGCTTTGCGACAAACCCCGTGATTAATCTTCAAGCTCTGGGATTGGATGTTGGAGTGGCAGTACGCCAAGGTTACGCCGAGCGTCAAGCTCTTTGAAATGGAACGAAACCACGGCAGACTATTCAAAACTGGACTCGAACGACCCCCCCAGAACTACACATGCTGGCTAAAACTAGGACCACCAGGGTGGGTGGAGGGGGTCAGGAGGACGGGCCTGGCTCGAGGGCGAAGACCGCTGTACTCAGGGGGCCGGGCTCGAAGGCGAAGACCGCAGCTCTCAGGGGGCCGGACTCGAGGGCGAAGCAGGCGGCGACGGAACAACTCCGGAGGACGGGCAGAAAGGCACTGACGGGACAGCTCCAGAGGCCGGGCAGGAACCAGAGCCGGTGGGACAGGCTTCGGCACGATCCCCTACGGAAGAGGACCAGGAGTTGGCAGGACCCCCGGCGAGACAGGTGGCGGCGGGACCTCCAACGGAACAGGACAAGAGGTTGGCAGGACCCCCGGCAGAAGAGTTGTCGGCGGGACCCCCAGAGGCACAGGACACAGGGTTGGCAGGACCCCCGGCAGTAGAGTAGTTGGCGGGACCTCCAACGGCGCAGGACATAAGATTGGCAGGACCCCCGGCAGAGGAGTAGTCGGCAGGACCTCCAACGGGACAGGACATAGGGTTGGCTGGACCCCCGGCAGGAGTGTAGTCGGCGGGACCTCCAACGGGACAGGACATGGAGTTGGCAGGACCCCCGGCAGGAGAGCAGTCGGCGGGACCTCCAACGGCACAGGACACAGGGTTGGCAGGACCCCCGGCAGAAGAGTAGTCGGCGGGGCCTCCAACGGCACAGGACACAGGGTTGGCAGGACCCCCGGCAGAAGAGTAGTCGGCGGGGCCTCCAACGGCACAGGACACAGGGTTGGCAGGACCCCCGGCAGAAGAGTAGTCGGCGGGACCCCCAACGGGACAGGACATGGAGTTGGCAGAACCCCCGGCAGGAGAGCAGTCGGCACATGCAGTCACATGGCGAATACGCCTTTTTTTACGAGTGGGAAAAAAAGTCTGTCACTCAGGGCAGTATTACACTATTTATAATCCAGGGGGTTGTATTGCGCCTAAAAGCCAGCCGCCCGTAAATAACAAATGAAGAACAAAACACAACAAAACGAACACAATACATGAAGAAGAACAGTTAGTAGCTATGGCGAGTTCACACAACACACAGGAGCTAGAAGACCCACCTGCTTCTTTTAAATCAGGTGTGTGGGAACATTTCGGGTTCCCTGTGGACTACAGCAATGATGGGGCGAGTTGTGGATCGGACGAGGACGGTGTGTCGGCGTTGTTCGACAGCAGTGCGGTATGCTGGTGGTAACACGTCAAACATGCTCAATCACATCCGAGTCAGTCTCAGTCCCCAGCGAGAGGGTTTTCTCGACGGAAGGTGACATACCCACACGGAAAGAAAGTATATGAACATATATGCCAATATATGGCAAATATATGCAGAATATATGTTGCATATGTCATATTCAGGTTCATATATGTTCATATATGTGGATTAATAGGAGATATATGTGTCATATATAGCTCATATATTTCCACATATATGCCAAAGTCAGGTTCATATATTTGCATATATCTCCTACAGAATGCCTCATATATAGCTCATATATCTGTGTTTTTGCATATATGTCATACAGAATGCCTACATATATATAGGTCTTTGCAAGGTAATGTGGTAATGTGCATATTATTCCAAAGTTCTATATAACTACATGAATTAATCATTGTACTTATTTCCATTCAATGCAGATTGAGGTTTGCGGATTGCCCAAGACAATTCAATGTATAAAGACAATATCAGGGTTTCCCACACATAGACTATACTTGGGCGGGCCGCCCAGGTATATTAACGGCCGCCCAAGTATATTTCGCGACCCATTTAGGTTTTTTGTTTTTTTTGTTTTTTTTTATAATTGTTTTTTTTTATTCGTCCGTGACCACAACGCCATCTGCGATCGATTAACTTGTGGACAATGATCCCTCGCTCCCTTGCTCTGATCTCGCCTCCTTCTGGCCTGTTAAGTGGCCTGCCTCACACAGGGTGACTGGCTGTTCACATGATGTGGCCTGCCAACATGGCCACTGTCATACAGATCATACATCAAAGCCCTTGATTGGTCTCTGTGTGTCATTCAAGCTCGGGATAACCTCAGCTCAGGTGAGGTAAAGAACTCTGAGTGTTAACTTAGTCTAAGTTCTCAGTGGGTCTCAAACGGTGTGGTCACCATTTATGTAAACACATATTTCCATTTGAGAGGGTAGTGATTGGTCTAATGGATAGTGAGGTGGGCTGAAGATTGGAAGGCTGTGAGTTCAAATCCCGCCAGGAACACCACCACTAGTGTGCCCTTGAGTAAGGCACTTAGCCCTTAGTTACTCCAGGGAGAATGTCCCTGTAATCGGTCATTATAAGTTGCTTTGGATAAAAGCGTCAGCTAAATGAAATGTAATGTGATTAGTAAAATATGCATGAATAAATAAATAAAAAGTTAACTAGGTGAAAAAAGGTAAGATACACTTTTAAAACTTGTTGAGAGAAAACTAGTCTTTGCTGCTGCCTCAAAGAGGAGCAGGGGGGAGAGGAGGGAGACAGGAGAGGCTGGTTCAGGAGCACAGACACACTCACAACTATAAATCAACCACAAATAAATTAATAAACAAGTTTCAGTGTTTTTTTCATATTGGAAATGGTATGTTATTGGTTATGGCCATGATTTTATGATTATTGAAATGTATACAGTTCTGTTTCATATAGGTGTTTCCATAGATCTAGTCTCTTTATTTTCCCCTCAAAATGCACCAGATTGATGCATTTAACTCCAAAATAAAAAATAAAATCTTACCGGGGGGGGGGGGGGGGGGGGGCATGCCCCTGGACCCCCCTAGAGGATTTGAGGTCGACCCCCACTAAAAATCACATGGATAGGTTCCTAAATACATTTATAAATACATTTAATTTTTTAAATAGTAACCCATTTCCATATGTTCATGTGTGGGTAGTAGATTTAAACTATAGGGCTATCACTATGGGCCCTGCCTGTACCTGTTCGCTCTGCCATCGCGTGAAGGGTCTGCTAACAAGCGACCAACAGAAAGGTTAATGTTAATGTTGTTGCACGTCACCTCAACCCCCCACCCACCCCCCCGCTACCACCAAGTATATTTCAGATCTGTGGGAAACACTGCCAGTTAATGGACCAGCACCAGAGGCGTTCTCATACACACACAGGCGTTGGAGCTGTTCTTCATGAAATCCCAGAAGGATGAAGTGCTCTGACAAACAGTGAGTTTTTTTTTTTTGCGCACCCCCCCTCTAGTTTCCATTTTCTTTTTTGCAGTGTCATTTTAACCCATTAAAACCAGGAAAGCATCTTTGTCATTTTCAGCCATATTTTATACTTTAGCTATTCAAAAATAGCAGATATGCAAGCTCATATCGCATCACTTCATGCCGCGCTATTAACTAAAATCTTTGGTTCTGGGGGTCCCTGGAACAAAATATTTTGAGATGGGGTCGGTGGCCAAATATATACAATTTTGGGGGTCCTTGACATTAAAACGTTTGAGAACCACTGATATAGCAACAGTTTTTTTTCAGAAAACTTAGGATTTAAAGACATTTGTAGAATGGGCCTCAGGTCTTAATGGGTTAAAATTGTATGATGTTTACACAATACTCTTCCCTGAACATTTTGAATCTCACCCCAACAAACATACTGTATTATATAAAATAAAACACAAACATGTAAAATAATTGAGCAAATTTAAGCAAAGTCAAAACAAAACGCAAAAATGTTAAACTATAATAATCATACTTAGTTCTCTTAGATTTTCGTTTTCAAATAAGAAAAAAATATTTGTTAAACCCCCATGTCTGTCTATTTGAGCATTTCACTGTGGTTAATGAATGTGAAGACAAAATCTACCTTCATCTTCTCAGTTTTAATGAACAAACACTTGGCTTTTATCTGTGATGCCTGAATAGCAGCTAAATGTCCCAGCAGTTTTCCCACAGGGATGAAATAACCAGGGTTCTTCAATTTACCATAAATGTCATGTTTCTCTTTTTTGTAGTACTGCCCTATTGCATAACATGTATCCCCCTGCCCTAGATCACAGACAATGAACGTCTTCACAGAGAAAATACTTTCCTCACGATCATGGAGCATGACAGTATATGAATTTCTACGGAAAGCACGTGTGTAGTTTTGTGAATGAATAATTTCACTGTTCACAACAACTCTGCTAAAATACCTTACAGGGACTCTACGTGCAACATGACAGATGCTATTCAAGGCCAGAAAATCATCCCTTTTGATCGTACTTATTTGTGGCCCACCTAGAGAGGTAACACCATGAGAGTGATTCACTTCTTGCATTTTTTTTTTCTCATCCGAAAAAGACTCGAAGAGAGCCAAGCACTCATCAGAAGCTCCCTCCATGGCTTTTTTGGCAAATGATGGCAATGCCATCTGAAGCCAAACAGTTTTTATTATTTGCTGAGAAACACTCTGACTGCTCTTTATCATGTCTAAAATGACCCCATTGTATGACTCAAACACAAATGCAGACTGTGCCCAGAGGGGACCCCAGTTCCTCACAGTATTGGGCCGATGAAGGCACAAGTGTGCATTGAAAGTTACATTACTGGTCCCATAAAGGAGCTCCATTTCTTTGACAAACTCAATTAGCAACTTCTCAGATTCAGATAAATGCAGTGCTGTTATATCCTCACTAAGCAGAAGAGAGACCCCCTTAACCAACTTGAACCAGTGCTTAAGGTATTTCTCAGGTAAGACTCCCTTCAATGTTGGTACACTGTAATAAAACAACCACATGGACCACTCATGTGCTTTCCAGAATGTTCTCTCTGTAAGTGAGCGGGGAACACGGGAAACATTACAGGGG